CATCCACATGCAGAAGAATGAAACTGGACCACTCTCTTGCACCATACACAAAGATAAACTCAAAATAGATGAAAGATCTAAATGTGAGACAAGATTCCATCAAAATCCCAGAGGAGAACTCAGGCAACACCCTTTTTGAACTTGGCCACAGTAACCGGAGAAGGACAAACGGTGTATGTTCTCATTCATTTGGGGAATATGAATAATAGCGAAAGGGAATATAAGGGAAGGGAGAAGAAATGTGTGAGAAATATCAGAAAGGGAGACAGAACATAAAGACTTCTAACTCTGGGAAATGAACTAGGGGTGGTGGAGGGGGAGGAGGGTGGGGGGTGGGGGTGAATGGGTGACGGGCACTGGGGGGTACACTTGACGGGATGAGCACTGGGTGTTATTCTGTATGTTGGTAAATTGAACACCAATAAAAATTAATTAAAAAAAAAAAAAATGAGCCTGCCAAAAGACTTCCTGATTTTACTATCTTTTCAAAGAATAAGCTTTGATTTCATTGATTTTTTTCTATTGGTTTCCTGTTTTCAATTTAATCAATTTTGGCTCTAGTTTTCTTTTGTTTACTTCAGATTTAATTTGTTCTTTTCTTTCTAGTATCTAAAGTGAAAGCTAAGATGACTAGTTTTAGATATTTCTTTCTTATATATGCATTCAATGCCATAAGCTGCCCCTAAATAGTGCTTTCACTTATATCCCACAAATTTTGGTAAGTTAAATTTGTTTTCATTTCTATTTAGTTCAAAATATTTAAAAATTTCTCAAGGTATTTTCTTTGATTCATGTGTTACTTAGAAATATTTTGGAATTTTTCCAGCTGTATTACTGGTGTTGACATCTAATTTAATTCCACTGTGGCCTGAGAGCTGCCACGGTAGGTTTCCTACTCTCATAAATTTCTTAGGGATTTGTTACGGTTTGTTTTATGGACCAGAATATGTGGTCTAGTTTGGTAGATGTTCCATGTGAGGTTGAGAAGAATGCATATTCTGCTGTTATATGAAGTAGTCTGTAGATATGTCTTATATCCATGTGACTGATGATGTTGAGCTCATCTATGTCCTTACTGGTTTTATGCCTCCTGAATTCATTCACTTCTGAAACAGGGGTGTTGACATTTCCGTCTATAATAGATTCATCTATTTTTTCCTTGCAGTGCAAGGAAATGGTTTTGCTAAGATCAGAGTGAAGAAAAAGAGGCATCAGATTCAGATTATAATTTAGTGTTACAGAAATAGGACATCAATTTAATCCCAATTCTCTCACTTTGACAGACACATTATCACAGCTAAGAGTTGCTGAGCACTTTAAAAATATATGCGTAGAGGGAGGGGCAAGATGGCGGAAGAGCAGGGTCCCCAAATCACCTGTCCCCACCAAATTACCTAGATAACCTTCAAATCATCCTGAATATCTACGAATTCGGCCTGAGATGTAAAGAGAGACCAGCTGGAACGCTACAGTGAGAAGAGTTCGCGCTTCTATCAAGGTAGGAAGACGGGGAAAAAGAAATAAAGGAACAAAAGGCCTCCGAGGGGGAGGGGCCCCGCGAGGAGCCGGGCTGAGGCCGGGGCGAGTGTCCCCAGGACAGGAGAGCCCCGTCCCCGTCCCGGAGGAGCAGGAGCTGCACCAACCTTCCCGGGCGGGCGGAAAGGGGCTCGCAGGGAGCTGGAGCAGGACCCAGGAGGGCGGGGATGCCCTCGGGCTCCCGGGGACACTAACAGGCACCTGCGAGCGCAGGAGAGTGCTCCGAGCTCCCTAAGGGCTGCAGCGACCGCACAGCGGACCGGAGCCGGAGCAGCTTGGAGGGCTCGGGAGCCGCTCCAGGGAGGGAGCTGCAGGGCGGGAGCGCGAATCCACCAGCGCAGGCCCCGGAGCACAGGGCGCCAGGACACAGCCCAGGATCCGGCCTCCCCCGGGACAGGCAGAGGCCGGGAGGGCCCAGGACAGCGAGGACGCTCCTGCCCCGAGCTGAGCAGATCAGCGGCCCCGCCCCGGAGCCTCCAGGCCCTGCAGACGGAGAACCGAGAGCCCCGAGCCCCGTTGTTCCTGCGGAGGCTGAATCCAGGCTTCCAGAGTTGCCATAGCAACTGCGGCTGATCCTCCTGGGGCCCCACGGGGTGAACAACCCCCGCTGAGCCCTGCAGCAGGCAGGGGCAGAGCAGCTCCCCCAAGTGCTAACACCTGAGAATCAGCACAGCAGGCCCCTCCCCCAGAAGACCAGCTAGACGGACCAGTGATACTCCCCCGTGTTCCAATACAACTTGTTTTTGGCCACTCTGCACTGAGAAAAATGACTAGAAGGAAAACCTCACCTCAAAAGAAAGAATCAGAAACAGCCCTCTCTCCCACAGAGTTACAGAATCTGGATTACACTTCAATGTCAGAAAGCCAATTCAGAAGCACTATTCTACAGCTACTGGTGGCTCTAGAAAAAAGCACTATTCTACAGCTACTCACGAGACTTCATGACTGCAGAATTTAGATCCAATCAGGCAGAAATTAAAAATCAATTGAATGAGATGCAATCCAAACTAGAAGTCCTAACGACGAGGGTTAACGAGGTGGAAGAACGAGTGAGTGACATAGAAGACAAGTTGATGGCAAGGAGGGAAACTGAGGAAAAAAGAGATAAACAATTAAAGAACCATGAAGACAGATTAAGGCAAATAAATGACACTCTAAGGAGGAAAAACCTACGTTTAATTGGGATTCCCGAGGGCGCCGAAAGGGACAGAGGGCCAGAATATGTATTTGAACAAATCCTAGCTGAAAACTTTCCCAATCTGGGAAGGGAAACTGGCATTCAGATCCAGGAAATAGAGAGATCCCCCCCTAAAATCAATAAAAACCGTTCAACACCTCGACATCTAATAGTGAAGCTTGCAAATTCCAAAGATAAAGAGAAGATCCTTAAAGCAGCAAGAGACAAGAAGTCCCTGACTTTCATGGGGAGGAATATTAGGGTAACAGCAGACCTCTCCACAGAGACCTGGCAGGCCAGAAAGGGCTGGCAGGATATATTCAGGGTCCTAAATGAGAAGAACCTGCAACCAAGAATACTTTATCCAGCAAGGCTCTCATTCAAAATGGAAGGAGAGATAAAGAGCTTCCAAGACAGGCAGGAACTGAAAGAATATGTGACCTCCAAACCAGCTCTGCAAGAAATTTTAAGGGGGACTCTTAAAACTCCCCTTTAAGAAGAAGTTCAGTGGAACAATCCACAAAAACAAGGACTAAATAGATATCATGATGACACTAAACTCATATCTGTCAATAGTAACTCTGAACGTGAATGGGCTTAATGACCCCATCAAAAGGCGCAGGGTTTCAGACTGGATAAAAAAGCAGAACCCATCTATTTGCTGTCTACAAGAGACTCATTTTAGACAGAAGGACACCTACAACCTGAAAATAAAAGGTTAGAGAACCATTTACCATTCAAATGGTTCTCAAAATATACCCTAAAAACTATAGAACACTTCTGAAAGAAATTGAGGAAGACACAAAGAGATGGAAAAATATTCCATGCTCATGGATTGGCAGAATTAATATTGTGAAAATGTCAATGTTACCCAGGGCAATTTACACGTATAATGCAATCCCTATCAAAATACCATGGACTTTCTTCAGAGACTTAGAACAAATTATTTTAAGATTTGTGTGGAATCAGAAAAAACCCCAAACAGCCAGGGGAATTTTAAAAAAGAAAACCGTATCTGGGGGCATCACAATGCCAGATTTCAGGTTGTACTACAAAGCTGTGTTCATCAAGACAGTGTGGTACTGGCACAAAAACAGACACATAGATCAATGGAACAGAATAGAGAACCCAGAAGTGGACCCTGAACTTTATGGTCAACTAATATACGATAAAGGAGGAAAGACGATCCACTGGAAGAAAGACAGTCTCTTCAATAAATGGTGCTGTGAAAATTGGACATCCACATGCAGAAGAATGAAACTGGACCACTCTCTTGCACCATACACAAAGATAAACTCAAAATAGATGAAAGATCTAAATGTGAGACAAGATTCCATCAAAATCCCAGAGGAGAACTCAGGCAACACCCTTTTTGAACTTGGCCACAGTAACCGGAGAAGGACAAACAGTGTATGTTCTCATTCATTTGGGGAATATGAATAATAGTGAAAGGGAATATAAGGGAAGGGAGAAGAAATGTGTGAGAGATATCAGAAAGGGAGACAGACATAAAGACTTCTAACTCTGGGAAATGAACTAGGGGTGGTAGAGGGGGAGGAGGGCGGGGGGTGGGGGTGAATGGGTGACGGGCACTGAGGGGGACACTTGACGGGATGAGCACTGGGTGTTATTCTGTATGTTGGTAAATTGAACACCAATAAAAATTAATTTATAAAAAAAAATAAATAAAAAAAAAATATATGCGTATACTCCTTACATAAAACCATTGAGACAGGGTTTTACAGATAGGAAAATTAAGGTCCAAAGAGGTTAAATGTTTTGTTCAGCATTACATGGCTAGTAATTCATGAGGCTAGGGGTTAAAATCAAGCAGTCCAACTACAGTTGGTACAAGGATTACCCTTGCTAACACTTCTGCTCAGATGGTTAGCCCAGGCCCATTATCATCCCATTCCAACCTAAGTATCTGTGGAGCTACCCCTGAGCCTCTCCTATGCCATTTATAAGATAGAGGGTCTGGGTACTTAACCATGTCTCCCATGCAGATGACTGATACATCTTGTCCAGCTGTGCAGCCCTTCCTAAATATTTGAACTCTTTCCTGATAGATTTCTTCTCCCCACTAAACTTAATCTTCCCTTTCCTTCCAGAATGATGAGGAAGTCTACATTAGCTTCCTACTAGTAAGAAAGAGAATTAAGAATACTAGGTTTGAAGGGTAGCTAGTTTTCACTCCACATCAAAGAAAGTACATAAACTAACACTTCTGTTAAACCTAAAAAGAAGAAAATTAATTCAACTTCACAAATATGAAATCAAACCCTACCTTTAGACCCTCCAATTCATTTTCCAGTTGCTTAGAATAATGCTCACTCTGTTCACGCAGTTTCCTATCTTTAGATGCTTCAGCAGCCACAGCTTCTGTATGAACTTCCAGCTTTAAAATAAAATGAAAAAAGCAGATGTCATGGTTATAATTGTTTTTCCAATAAAATGCTTTTCCCCATGGGAATTTACCTTGTAACAAGAAGATAACTCAAATGTTGATATCATATTAAATAAAATTACTAAACTAAAAAAAAAACAGTTTTTAACAATTAAAGAATGAGACATGATTTCACTCATCTGGAAAAAGCAGCTTTAATCACTACCCCGTGAGCACTAGAAAATCTGCCTGACTACTAACCTCTTTTTTGGCTCTCTCTGTTCTGCGCAGTTCTTGCCTTAAGCTTTCAACTTTTTGCATCACCAGGTCCACCTCTTCTTCCTTATCTCGGACATGGCGAGCAAGTTTCTGTTTTTGGGTGTGCAATTCTGTTAGCCGCTCATTGATCTCCATGAATTCCTGCATGGCCAGTTTCCTCTGACAGTGTGCGTCTTTCAGCTCTTTGGACTGGTTTTTTAATCGCTCACTAGCCTGGACTAGTTCCTACAGTTTTGTAAAAAGAATATAAGTTACCAATTCTGCAAGCTAGGGACCAATTTTGGCCATCAAAGTAGCTATCATGAAGTCAAAAAGAGCCAAAATTATTCATCTCAGGACAAAATTAAAAGAAATTCACTACTTCTGAAAAGATATTAAAACCAAGGTGATCTGTTCATATTCTCAATTTCTGATGCTACCATGCTGTGATGAAGAATTGATTTAATTCCAGTACCTTAGTTTCCAAAAATAAATAAAGAGTACAGGAATACCAAATAGGATGGTTAAAATAAAGATTTTGTGAAATGTAATCATTACAAATGATAAAAAACAAGGAATGCTCTTATGTGGAGGTTTAGGCCAGAAGCAAGGAGGAAAGGCTAAATAAACTCCCAGATCAAAGTGAGAAACTTGGGAGTGAAAGCACTCAAGTCTGCCTTCTGGCAAAAGGAAATGCAAACTGTTTTTGAGGAAAGAGCCTCAACAAAATGTAGGATTTTTACGAGCACGAAAATATGACTTCACCATAGATTCCCTAAACACCCAAAGAACAAACAACCATAGCGAAGAACAGAAACAATAAAAACAAACTCCAATGATATTTGGACATTAGAATTATCAAATATTAACCTAAAATTGGCATGTATGAAACATCTGAGGAAGTAAAAATAAATAATAAAAATAGGAAAATGACAAAAGACTACTAAAAACGACCAGATTTATAAAACAACTGTGCAGAACATTTAGAAATGAAAAAATGGAAGTGTTTAAAGACTTGAGTCCATCAATGCAGTAAGCGCTACATTTATAAAGCAAGAAAAAAATGTTAAAGCTGAAATCCAGAAATTAAAAAAAATATTGTATAGCACCAAATAAAAATAAATGTCCTTAAATCAATGAAAAAAAGACAAATCACCTATTCTCCATCCTTAAAAACAAAAACAGATAGACTAAGAAGTAACAGTAGAAACACAGAGGAAAATGTTTCTAATGAGGTAAGAAAATAATTAAACTTGTATATCCAGAAAAGTCCCTTTCAAGTATGAGGCTAAAATAATTAAATTCATATAAACAAAAACTGACAGAGCTTATCACGATCAGATCTCCGCTAAATAGGAACCTCTAAAGATTTACTTCAGGAAAAGGAAAAATAATTTTAAAAGCAAATGGCAGAGAAATGGAGGACTAAGAAACTGGTAAACATAAATGTGCATGTAAACAAACATGTGTATGAGACTGTATTATAAAAATGTCTCATTTGGACAGCAGATAAAATGATACAAGTAAAATATTAGTGAAAAACCACACTGAAGTTGGGATGAGGTAACAGAGTTAAAGGTCCCTAAATTGATTGGGAGGTGTGGCTTAAGATAGTAAATTTAGACTTTGTTAAATATGCATGATAAAATTCAAGACCAACTACTAGAAACTGTTACAAGTAGCAAGTAAAGTGGGAACAAAAACACACATTTCAATTGAAATTCAAGAAAAATTTTGCAAGATGAAAACAATTTTGGAGATTGGTTATGCAACAATGTGAATGTACTGTACACTACCTAATTGTACATTTTAAAAGTGGTTAGCACAGATTTTATAAAATAGATATTTTACCACAATTTTTAAAAGGTGAGAAAGGAAGCAAAGATAGGCACAGAAAAAGCATGACAAGTATAAATCAGAAAGTAAGTTGGTAGAAACATATCTACATACATTAGCAGTCAAAATAAATATGAAAAAGCGAAGGCTGTTATAATAAATTACAAAATAATATCTAGACGTTAATTTAAAAAAGCATTAAGGAGAATATCCTACGCAATGATAAAATTCAACACTAGAAAGAAATGCTATTCTAAACTTTTATGTATTCCACAAGGTACACTCAAAATAGATTACAAAGAAATTCCAAGATCATTGAAAAATTGGTAAACACATGATCATAAAGAGAAATTTCAATTTGACAATCATTAATAAACAAAGCAGTTAAAACACAGTGAATATGATCAAGAAGATGATTAAGCTTCATATGTAGAAGCTTGCATCCAATATTGGAAACATACATTCTTCTCAAGTACACAGTGAACATTTAAAAATGGTTGGCGCTTGGCTTGTTCAGTTGGTAGAGTGTGTGACTCCTGATCTCAGGGTTGTAAGTTCAAGTCTCATGTTGGGTGTAGAGATTACTTAAAAATAAAATCTTAAAAAATAATGATAATAAAAATAAATAAAAGGTAAAAAATGGAACAGTCTGTCTAAGCTGTGAAACAAGTCTCAGCAGATTTCAAAGAACAGATATTAAAAATCAAGTTCTTTAATATCATCATTAAAACAGAAATCAAAAATAAAAAAGCTAATAAATTCCACAACACACTGGTCAAGGAGAAAAGTCATAAAGAGTGTTAAAATATTTAGAACTTAAAAAAAGGTGAAAAATAACAAAAAAAATAAAAATATTGAGTACATATATTATAACTTGAAGATGCAATAAAAGGTTTACCTAGAAGATTTATAGCTAAATACTTATATTGAAACTAAAAAAATAAAAAGTAAAAAAAAAATAAAAGGTTTTTTATTTAATAAAAGGTTTTAATTCAATGAAGTTCCACATAAAAAGAGAGAGAAAACACATTAATACTTCTGCCAATATGAGAAGATAATAAAAATCAGGACATAAACTAATGAAACAGAAATGTTAGGATAATGAATATCAACAAAGGCAAAAGTTGGTTCTTTGAGAAAAATAATAAATAGGAAAATAAAACAGGAAAGTATCTGGTGAGATCAAGGAGAGAAGAATAAATGCAAAAAGAAATAATATTAAGAAAGAAAAAAGGTTGTAACTACAAATCCAGAAGAGATCAAAAAAGCTAACAAAAAAATACAATGAAACACTTATGCTAGTAAATTTGCTAACTTTTGAAATTAGTGAATTCCTATAAAAATACAATTTATCAACATTGTTTCACCAAGAAATAGAAGGCTAAATAAGTCCTTTAATAATTAAAGTACCTAAATCAATAGTTAACAAACATTCCCTATCCACTCTGTGGGAGAGAATTTCCGAACTCAGGTGGTTTCACAAGTGATTCCTTCAGTGTTTCAAGGAATAAAAATTCCTCTTATGCAATAATTTATAAAGAAGAGAAAAAGAGGCAATTCTACCCAACTCATTCTATGAGACCAGTGTAACCTTAATATCATAAAAACATCAGAATAGAAAAAAATGACAAGCCAATCTTACTGAGGAAAACAAAAAATCCAACCAAAAAAAGATGTAAGCAAATCAACTCCAGTGACATATAAGTTGATAAGCATGAACTCTGGACCTTGACTCCTTGTGTTGAAATTCCAGCTCCACCACTTTCTAGCTCTATGAAGTTGAGCAAGCGTACTTGATCTCTCTGTGCTTGGTCTCATCATTTATAAAATGAGAATAGAATAATACCACCTAAATCACAAGGCTCTTATAAAGATTAAGTGATCTAATACATGTAAAGCACTCCAGTAACAATGCTATTTCATTGTTTCATAACTAGCATGTTGTTATTTAGGAGATAATACACATTATTTAGGTTTAACCCAGAAATGCAAAAATGTTTAACATTAGAAAAAGTCCCATCGGGGCACCTGGGTGGCTCAGGTGGTTAAGCATCTGCCTTCATTCAGCTCAGGTCATGATCCCAGGGTCCTGGGATCAAGCCCCGCATCAGCTCCCTGCTCAGAGGGGAGTCTGCTTCTCCCTCTCCCTATCTCCCCCCCACCCCCCACCCCCGTTAATGCTTGCTCTGTCACTCTCTCAAATAAATAAATAAAATATTTTTTAAAAAAAAGAAAGAAAAAGTCCATCAATGCAATTTACCAAACCAAGTTATTAAAGGACAATTATATAAATACATCAATAGATATTAACAAATTCCTAGAAATTAGCTGCAACAGTGTACAGAAAAGTGCATTTATTAAGTCCAATACTCATTCTTGATAAAAATTATTAGCAAAATAGGAAGAGAACTTTCTTAACCTGATAAAAAATATTTACCAAAAACCTACATAAAACATTAGTGGTGAAACAGTAAAGGCATTTTCTTTGAAATCAGGAATAAGACAGGGAAGCCTGCTATCACGAGTTCTATTCAACACTGTACTGTGGGTTCTAGCTAGTATAGTAAGACAAGGAAAGAAAGAAAGGTCATAAAACCAAAGGAAGAAACAAAACTGTCATTATTTTCAGAGAACCATAAAGAATCTCAAATATTAGTACAATTAATAAGAATTTAGCCATGTTGCCAGAGCAAAATATAATTTTAAAGATACCATTTAAAATATGAAAAAATAGAATAATAAATTTAAAGAAAGAGAAATAAGACATGCATAAAATTTTATGGAAAAACATTTTAAAATGTTTTTGGTATATGGAGAATACAACATGTTTCTGGATAGAAAGACTGTGGGGCTCTAGAGAAAATATTTTTATGTTTTTCTCCAAATAGGCCTTCGTAAACAAATTTTACTGAAACTTGGGACCTGGGCTCACAGCAAGCCTTGTAGTTTAGGACTAATTAAGAATAAGCAACTCCACAGCAATTTAACTGCTGGAAATATGTGCTCACACTTCGACAGGGGTGGGGAGAGAGAGAGGAGCCTGGATCAGGGAGTGATCCCCTTTATAGAGCTTGAGACTCTGGGCTTATCTTTCCACTGGAGTGATTCATTTATATTCTAAAGAGTCCACTTCCGATCCTTCTCTTTACATTTCCAAGGAGACTCGCAGAAGGGTGGGTGGAATTGGCAAGGAGGAGGGGAATAGGAAGCATCCGCCATTCTCCTTTATAGGAAAGCTCTAGACTCACTTTTTCGGGGTTCCTCACATCCACAAGAGATTCCATACATGTAGGGTTTCAACTATGTAGCTCTCATTGCACTGCCCCAGAGGTAAGAATTAGCATACAGCGGAAGGATGTGGTTATTTCTGCTCTATGTATATCACAATACTACACTCTGCTCTTGAAATCTGTGTGTGAGTTTGGAATGATATTAATAAATATGAATTCTAAGAACTTAAAGACTCAATGCTATAATGATGTCAGTTATCTTGAAATTACTCTACAGATTTAATGCAACTTTCATCAAAATCCCATCACAGTTTTTAAGGAATGAGATATAGACTCATTCATAAATGGAAGTGTAACATATGACAGAAGTGACATCACACATCACTGTGGGAAAGAGAGCCTATTTAGTAAATGAGCAACTGGTTAGCTACACAGAAAAAAACTGAAATTGGATCCTTATCTCACATGATATGAAAAAATAAATTTCTGCTGTATTAAAAATTTAAATATGAAAGATCGAACTTTAAAACCTCAAAATAAAAAGAAAGTGAGCACTTTTTTTAAGAAAGTAAGCACTTTTAACCTCAGATTTTTACACAAGCCAGCAAAACTTTAAAAAGAGTGATAAATTTGACTACATTAAAACTAAGAATTTCTGTTATACAAAAGATCCCATTAAAGAAAGTGAAAAGACAAGCACTGAGTGATATCTGTAACATACACAACTGACAAAAGATTAACATAAAATTTTCAAGAATTCTTAACCAACCAATAAGAAAAAGACAACCCAAGAGAAAAATATACAAAGGGGATTGAGAGGCACTTCACAAAAGAAGAAATATAAATGATAGATAGGCATATGTAAGAGACTCAACCTCATTAGTAGTTAGAGAAGTGACTTATAACAACACATAATTCTAGACTCAAAATGTCAATTTCAACTAGGTTGTCCAAAATAATATACATCTAATAATATGAAGTATTGTTGAGTATACACTAGGTGGTGGGAGTGGGAGTATAAATCAGTATAATCAGTGGAAAGTGATTTGGCATTATCATAAAAATAGAATATTTGCATTACTTATGACCCAGTTATTCTCCTAGTGTTTGTATATGCAAGTGTATGCATTTCAGCATATTGTTCATGAATATTCATTTATAGTAGTGGTCAAGTATAAGCAACCTTGATGTCTATATATAAAAAAAATGGAATAACTAACTTCTGGAGTGTTCACATAATGGTATACTATATAGCAACTAAATGAATGCTCTTAGAAATATAAGTGAAATAGACAAAGCGCAAAAAACTGCATATACTATTTTACAAAGCTCAGAAACAAGCAACACTAAATAATACATATATATTTAATTTCCTATGGGATTAAAAATTCTTTAGCCACCAAGTTTAATGGCTATACACTATTTCATCATATGAACTGGTTGGGCATTTCAGTTATTTCTAATATTTTTCTTTTATAAATGTGGTGAGAAATTTCTCTGTGAGTAAATCTTTGTTTAAATGTCTGATTATCTTTTTTTTTTTAAGATTTTATTTATTTATTCATGAGAGACACAGAGAGAGAGGCAGAGACATAAGCAGAGGGAGAAGCAGGCTCCATCCAGGAAGCTCAATGTGGGACTCAATTCCGGTACTCCAGGATCACACCCTAAGCCGAAGGCAGAAGACACTCAACTACTGAGCCACCCAGGCATCCCTGATTATCTTCTTAAATTAAATTTCGACAAATGGGAGTTTACTATGTCAAATATTTCAGTATTTTAAGGTTTTAGATACTTTTTGCAAATTAGCTTTCCAGAAATAATGTATCAGATTATAATTTCATCTTTAATATTTGTCACTGGTGTTTTTATTTTTACTGAAATATAATTAACACATAATGTTATATTAGTTTCAGGTGTATGACACAGCATCAACAATTCTATATCTTACTCAGGGCTCACCATGAGAAATGAGAAATGTAGCTACCATTTGTCACCATATAAGTTTATTTTATTATATATGATATATTAGTGATATACTAGTATGTAATAAAAAATTTTTTTCAATAAGGAAATGATTGACATAAAATTCAGAACAGTGATTACCATTTTCAGGGAAGTAAGGAGAAAGGGATTAAAAAAAAACAATGGTCCAGGGGCTATGCTACAAAATTGGTGATGTTCTCTTCCTTAAATTAGATGGTAGGTTCAGAGGTGTGCATTTATATTAAAACTCATATAATGTTACATTTGTTCTTTTATATGTATCAAATGAAAAAACTCTTAAAAGGAGTATCTGCTGCCTGTAGGATATTAAGCAAATCACTTAAGATTTGTTAACAATATAATGTTACCTTTCAGCACTACCCTCCTCTCAAAATATACTAAAAGGATTTTTAATATTAAAACTTATTAAAATTGGCAAGATACTCATTACTATAAATCTAAATATCAGATTTTATCCTTTTTATGTTTACTAAGTTTGGCTGAATAATCCCACCTTTAAATACATAATAATTAGTACTAATATTACCACATTAGAACAGATAGGACATGTTATGAATTCAAAATATTTTTAAATTGACTTTAAATTTAAATGGATCTGTACACAACACTGCTTGTAACTGTATTAAGAAAAAAGTAAAAATATACTAATCTAATTCAATTTAACTGTTACAGCTTTCTGTTAGTCTTTTTGATTATCTTCATCAGCAAATGTTGTTTTATTTTTAATTGCCTCCATTTCTTTACTGGCAGCAAGACTTTAAAATCTTTCCCCAAAAGAAATTCATTATATTATCAATTAATATTCTGTATCATTGAATACTATTTATACTATGCCCTAAACCAATCATTTCTTTTTGGTGTTGGCTAGTATTAATTCCAACATTTTAAATTTGTTAATGAAAGGCAAAGTCCATACACTGAGTGATTCAGGTAAAGTATTCTTCTCTGGTGCTTGAATATTATTCCCTACTGGATGTGTTAGAGTGTCTTGGCTATTAATAAATTTTGCTGATGTTACAATGCTGTTTAAGTGTTACATACAGTTTTTATGAAAATAACTTTTGCCTGTTTATCCATCATTTGAAAAACAAATTGACATTTCAAAAAATAATTAAAACATTAAAGAAATTTTTGTTATAATCTTTTAAGAATGTTCAGATCAGGGGATCCCTGGGTGGCTCAGTGGTTTAGCACCTGCCTTTGGCCCAGGGCGTGATCCTGGAGTCCTGGGATCAAGTCCCGCATCAGGCTCCCTGCACAGAGCCTGCTTCTCCTTCTGTCTGTCTCTCTTTCTCTCTGTGTCTCTCATGAATAAATAAATAAAATCTTAAAAAGGAAAAGAATGTTCATATCAAAATCACAATGAAAATATGCCTATATTTATTTTTCCATAGACACTAAAATATTTTACTATTTGCTTATTCCTTTTTAATATTTTTCAATTACATTTACTTTTAATCAAGTCCTTCAATTATTAACTTTTAAAAAGAATAAATGATTCTAAACTTTAAAATCTTGAGAATATAAAAGCTTCTTCATTGCCAGCTACTAATCAAATGACATACACCAAAATAATTGTTAAATTTTTACACCAATATTTTACAGACAGAATATACTCGTTGTAATTCACTAGGAAAGCTTTCAGTATACAATTAATAAACAAAGTTAAGAATCCAAAAGCATTGGGCAGCCCAGGTGGCTCAGCGGTTTAGTGCTGCCGTCAGCCCAGGGCCTGATCTTGGGGATCCAGGATCGAGTCCCACGTCAGGCTCCCTGCATGTAGCCTGCATCTCCCTCTGCCTGTGTCTCTGCCTCTCTCTTTCTCTTTCTCTGTGTGTCTCTCATGAATAAATAAATAAAAATCTAAAAAAAAAAAAAAAGAATCCAAAAGCAGCTTTAACAATCTATCTACATATTTTTACCTTGTTTAATTCTTCCCTTTCTTGTTGAAGTATTCTGATTTGTTTTTCATAAGCCTTGATTTGTCGAAAAGCATCATCTAACTCTCTCCTCACAGAGTTGGCTTCTTCAAGTTGTTGTTCCAAATGACTTGATTCTATAAAGAGAAGATAGTAATTATTTTATTATTTGTATAAAAACAAATGTTTGAAACCAAGGTTTTATACAACCAAATTAAAAAAAATAAAGTATTTTGAATTTGGTATTAGGCTTATGGACACCACATACCCCTATGACTATGACTCATAAATGTTTTTAGCAAGTTCACTGTAAAGCTGGTGAGTAGCTAGTGCCACTATGGAGATGTGTAAGACTTGTGTGCAAAAGTGCCTTACATTTCTATTAGAAAAAGAAGTATAATATTTCAAAAAAAATACCTTTAGAAACAATTAAAAGCTTAAAACAAAAACAATAAAACAGTTTTCCTCTAAGGAAGGTTATTAGCATTTGTGTGCTGATGTCAGGTTACTTGTAAGATGGCCGTGCTTCTATTGGTTGCAGACCCCCAGCCCAGTTTCACTAGTGGTTATCTGAAGAACAAACTCTGATTTGTGAAAGCAAGTATTCGAAAACCTCTGATCTAGAAGAAGACACTGAAGCCCAACAAAGGGAATATCTAGCCTGAGGTCACATTGCTAAATGGGTATCAGAGCAAAGACTACAGCTCAGAACTCTGGCATCAACCTAACTGGGAAAGTAATGTTATTAAAGGACACTTAACATCATCACTTCAGGAGAGTTATTAGGAAATGAAACAAAATTACTAATTTTAATACATGCTTAAATAAAATTTAATAAATTGATACAAAACATTCCTGGCATCAAAAGTAAATTAGCAAATTAAAGAATTGAAGCTCATAAAAACAGAGAAATCTAAACACATTCCTTGTGAATTTTTGTTCTCGGTATTTTCTATTCTATAGAACCTTGTTACTCTTAGTGTCCTTTCCAGACAAGTAGCATTAGCATCCTCTGGGACCTTGTTAGAAATGCAGTATCCCAAGCCCCATCCCAGACCTAAATGAATCTGATCTGTATTTAACAAGATCCCCAAGTTTTACATATTCAAGTGTGGGAACAGATGCATAAAGTACTGCACATTGTTGAGTTCAATGCTTTCAATAAATGAAGTAGTGATTATAATACATTAGGCCTACTGAAAAGAGCATTTCATGTGTATAGATAAGTCCTGTGGTCAAAAAGTCACTAAACTGCATTAGTGTGTCATATACTAACTGGTGCTACATTGCTTAAATCAAATAATTTACTGATATTCAGTGCCCTAAACTCATAGATTTAGTAAGAGTTTATTTATTGTAGGTATTTTGAAAGTCTAGATACATTTATGGATACCACAGTTGTTTTTTTTTAACAATTTTCAAAAATATCTGCAAAGTTGCATTTAACTAGTTTTCATTTTGTCTTAAAAGTATGATTTTAATGGTCTAACTTAATAAATGTTTCACTTGAAGAATGTTTCACTAAAAGATCATTGATGCTTACTCTTAAAGATAACAGAGTATGTAGTCATACTCAGAAGTTTTTATTTTATCATTTTCTCAAATTTTGGCATTTCGTGTTGGAATTTTTCTGCCTATACTAACTTCTTCGAAACATTTTAAGTGCTATTTTTCTTGAAGTTTTTAACACTGTAAAAACTTAACTTCAACAATTTGTTATTTCTAACAATATGGAGTCAAAATTTAGTAAGTGACGTGGCTAACTTCAATCCCATTTTATGGTTAAGGGCATTCTCCCTCTGAGAATGCCCACCTCCTTTCTTTTTTTTAAAAAAAATTTATTTTTTATTGGTGTTCAATTTGCCAACATATAGAATAACACCCAGTGCTCATCCCGTAAAGTGCCCACCTCAGTGCCTGTCACCCAGTCACTCCCACCCCCCACCCACCTCCCCTTCCACCACCCCTAGTTCATTTCCCAGAGTTAGGAGTTCTGTCTCCTTTTCTGGTATTTCCCACTCATTTTTTCTCCTTTTCCCTTTATTCCCTTTCACTATTTTTTTATATTCCCCAAATGAATGAGACCATATAATGTTTGTCCTTCTCCGATTGACTTATTTCACTCAGCATAATACCCTCCAGTTCAGTTCCATCCACGTCAAAGCAAATGGCCTACCTCCTTTCTGCACTCCGAAGAGCTCTTCCCCAGTTATGTTAAAGTTTTTTGCAAATTATTGAGTCATTTGCTTATCTCAGCTGCTTTTTGTTAGAAACAAAACTTTCTGAAATCAGTGTTTCATAAAATTGCATTACATAAAAGTTTACAGCAAAATGATTCCATGAGACCACTTTGACAGCCTTCAAGGATGGTTGTCTTTTTTCAGTTTAGGTTAAATTCTAGTTTTATCCCAGCCATTTTGCTTTGGCTGCTTTGCAATGGTGTTGTTAAGTATATAATATGAATCTTATGTCACATTTTCATGTTTCACATAGAAAGGCTGAAGACAAACTCACTTGATTATTTATAAAATCTTCCAATATGAAGAGAAGTGGAACACTTGTATTTGATATACACAGAACTTTGTATTCCCTAAAGATAAAAATCCCAAATCAAGGAAAGTCCAGAATGCACTAAACTTCGCCAACCACTCTAAAATGGCTAAGGTACGGGAATGTTTACTTTCACTATAACAAACAGTGAATGGTTCAAAACTTTGTGAGAAATCCTCCAAGACTATCAAAAAATATCTCATGCAACATGATGAACCATGCCATTTAGACAAATAATTTAAAAACAGTTTTAGTGAATAGAAGAAGCAGTACTAGCAAAGGGGGTTATTAGCTCATCCCAACAAAATGGTTCTTAACTCACTGCTGCTAATACAATCATCAGATTCAATCTCTTAGTAATAAGGATTTAATAATGGATCAACACACAGTAAATAAATTTTCTTTGCACTGTGTAGTGTTTAAGAAAAATATAAAATAGAGTCTCTGCTTTGAAGGAGATGACCAACTCAGGAAGACAAGAGTAACACTCTTCAAATGATAAATGAAGCAGAAAATCAAATGTACACTGTGTGGCAGGTTATGGCAGCTCAGGGAATCACTCAGAGTGGAGTGTAGGTGTGCTCAGGGGAGTAGAACCACCAAAGCACCTCACCCTGATGCACAAGGACACAGTGTCACAGCTTCTCCCTTATGCTCCTACTCCTAAAATAATCCATAACTCTTCTGAAATGTGAGGAGATCTGACTTTGAATCACAATGGGGGAAAATAGGTTCCTCTATTTTCGACCTCCTCCCTCCATTCACTATCTTTCTCCTTTACTTACATGATATAGGGAAGTGTGTGTGCAAGAGAGACAACCAGACAGGGAGAGAGAGAAAGAGAGCTTAGTGTTGAAGAGACAGGACGTGGAGGCACAAACCACTCATCTCAAGGCAACAAAAGAAAGGGAGTTAAGAAGTACATTACAGGTTATGAGAATTATTTTATTTAGGAAGAAACTATTTTCTCATGGAAAAATATTAAATGAGAGTATGAATTTTTATTTTTATCAGCAGATGGTCAACAAGTATGTATTGACTGACTGTTGGATGACACAAGGAAACTCTGTCTTACCCTCCTGGGAATTTAGAGTGGGATGAGGAAAGCAGATTTTAAAAAGAAATTGTAAGTAATTATAAACTTACTAAGTTTTCCAGGAGTTTAAATATTTATAAAACATTGCCATAGGGAAGAAAAAGATAGAAAGACACTGATGATGCATATTTGTTCACACAAAGATCCTGCTTAAGAAGTAGCTAGAGGAACATCATTTAGAAGGTGATTTGGACACTTTTCCTTTACAGCCACGACTATAGTTAGGGCCACTCATCAGGCAGGTCCCTAGGGAGCCTGTGCTCTATCTCTAGCTCTTACATCAACTGTTTAAGGCAGCGTGGGTGTAATAATGAATGAGACACAGATAATAATCACCCTCAGCCTTATCACTATGCCTTTGGTACCTACTATAATTTTTGGTACAGAGTAGCAACTCCATAAAGAGGTTTATGGATTGAATTAAGAATGAATGAATGTTGCTGGTGGGAATGTAAATGGAAAACAGTATGGCAATTCCTAAAAACATTAAACACAGAATTTCCATATAAATTCAGGAATGCCACTTCTTGCTATATGCCCCAAAGAAGAGAAAGCAAGGACCTGAACAAATACAGGTACCCTCAGCATTATTTACAATAAACACAAGGGAGAAGCAGTCCCAGCACCCATAAGCAGATGAATGAATAAACAAAATGGAGTATTTATACATACACAGTAGGATGCTGTTATTAAGGAAGGTCATTCTGACACCTGCTACAACATGGATGAATTTTGAATAGACTACGCTAAGTGACATAAGCCAGCCACAAAAGCATAGATATTTTATGACAGTACGTACATGAGGTTCCTAGAGCTGTCAAATTCAGAGGAACAGAAAAGAGAATGGGATTGCCAGGGGCTGTGGGTGGAATGGGGAGCTGGCATCTGATGGGTGGAGAGTTTCCAAGTGGGAAAATGACAGGCCATGGAAACAGCAGGTGATGGCTGTACAGCATATGAATGTGTTTAATGCCACTGATCTGTTACTTAAAAGTGGTTAAAATGCTAATTTTTATGTTACTTACATTTTACCTCAATAAAAAAAAGCGTTTAAAAAAGAAAAGGGTTTAAAAATGAACGGATGATACTGGAGAGATGGAATGGAATCATGGTGCAGAGAATAGCACCCGACCAAGAAAAGAGAGGCTGAGAAAGAAGAATACTAAAAAGAAGATTTCCCTTTCCCTCAATGTTGTTTTCACTGGTTCTGTCCCAGTCCCAGGAGAGGCTGAAACACACAGAGTGAAGAGCAGTCATGTAAGCGTGAGCTCAGGGAGAAGGCAGGAGTAAAGAAGGAAATCCCAAGTGCCAGGAGTTCAATGGTAACCAATCTCCCCATTAGGAGGACTCTGGGCACTGCTGATTCGTACATAAGGGAAGAGTGAGGAGCTGCCTGTAGAGACACAACGTAGGAAGACGCCTCAGGATGCAGTCAGAGGTTTCCAAGAGCAAAGTTTCACTTAGTCACTCACTCATCCACAAATACCAACT